CATAAAGAAATAGTTTATCCCAAAATGAAAATTTGCTGAAAATGTAGGCCATCCCATATTTAGATGCATTTGTTTCTTCATCAGAACAGATTTGCCAAAATTATGCATTGCATCACTTAACCAGTCACCTCACCAACTGATATTCTGCAGTGAACTGGTGACGTCAAAATTAGTTCAAACATCTGATAAAGCATCACAGTGATCCACAAGTAACTGACTAATCCATGATTAAGACATGTTTAACTTCAAACAATTTCTTCCAGCAAAAATACATGTCTTTTTGCTTTCTCTAAGTGATTTAATGCTAAATTTCTCAAAAGCTATTCGGATGAAGAAACAAATTCACCAACATCTTGAATGTTTTTCAGCAAATGTTTATTTTTGGGTGAACTACTGCTGAGGACAAATGCAGACTTTCCAATGAAATTCACTGGGGACATGCGGGCACAAAAAAGTATCTTTGGCATTTTAAGTGCAGTGGTCAGTGCAAGATTTTACTGTGGCATTGTTTGTATTTGTGGGGTTGATTCAAGCAGTGTGGTTGAGGAAGCAGGTACAACATGGTCAAAGGTTGCAGGCAATAGTTAATCTTCCTCTAATCCTGTTAGGAAGTGAAAGGAAACAATGGCTTTAGACTACCTCCAACTCCCCCTTCTGGGCCACCTGAGCATCTTTTCTAGTCCTCAATGATGAGCCTCAAGTGGATGAAGCCTTGCTGTGCAATGCGCCACCAGCCATGTCTGTGTTTGGTCACTGTCCTTGGTGCTGAAGCCCCACTTTGTGTATGAGCCAAATGGGACACAGAGGCATCTTCAAATGACACTGTCTGCAGAGCAGATGAATAACAGAGTACATTTTTATGTGTTTGTGATGTATATTTTTTTGGGACTGTTGCCTGTAAGTATTACAGGCGCTTACAGCGTCTAAAGATATTACTCTAAGCCTAATCTCAAGTAAGAAAGTCCTAAATCCTAATCTCAGTCACCACGGAGGATCTTGGGGATAATTGCATTTGACAAGAAGATGATAGATAGATAGATAGATAGATAGATAGATAGATAGATAGATAGATAGATAGATAGATACATTTCCTTAAACGTTTTTGATTCATTTTTTAAAATCTTACTACTTGTTTCAGAATGTTCAGCGAACATGTAAAAGTAATGTTTCCATAATGTTTGCAAGAAAAGAAATGCTCCCTAAAGTTTGAGAGCATTCAGATATAAAGTTGTTATAACTGGGTAGCTACATAGATAGTAGAAAGGCAGGATAAAAAGAGATTTTAAATCTGAATTGGAAACTAATTGCTCTAAATCATTATTCTTGTCTACTGGACTAAAAGGCGGTGAGTAATCATAAAAACATAAGACTTTTATGTAGCAGCTAATTTTGCTTAAGGTGTATTACAGTGCATTCAATAGATTGTACTGTTGTTTAACAACATACCAATTGTTCAGCTGATGACATGTCTTTCTGAGAAAAACTTTCAATAGACAAAAACTCCATTATTAAGATAAATGGACCATTTCCGGGTTTCTCATCAGCGGAAGTCATCATAGTTGTGTAAACTTATATAGCAGTGAATGGGAGTCTAAGAACCACATACAGTGGGTACGGAAAGTATTCAGACCCCCTTAAATTTTTCACTCTTTGTTACATTGCAGCCATTTGCTAAAATCATTTAAGTTAATTTTTTTCCGTCATTAATGTACACACAGCACCCCATATTGACAGAAAAACACAGAATTGTTGACATTTTTGCAGATTTATTAAAAAAGAAAAACTGAAATATCACATGGTCCTAAGTATTCAGACCCTTTGCTCAGTATTTAGTAGAAGCACCCTTTTGATCTAATACAGCCATGAGTCTTTTTGGGAAAGATGCAACAAGTTTTTCACACCTGGATTTGGGGATCCTCTGCCATTCCTCCTTGCAGATCCTCTCCAGGTCTGTCAGGTTGGATGGTAAACGTTGGTGGACAGCCATTTTTAGGTCTTTCCAGAGATGCTCAATTGGGTTTAAGTCAGGGCTCTGGCTGGGCCATTCAAGAACAATCA